TCCACTGTAAGTCTGAAACAACGTCAAGCAGGCCGTTTTGGTATTCCTCGATTGTTCTGTTCCTGCAGTCCTGAAACCAGTAAAAGTGATCCCTCTGGTGCCTTTCCTGCACACATACGTTAAGGTGCCTTAGATAGAGCAGCTTCTCATCTAATTTACCTTGGCATTCACTTGTTTTCCTTATGCAAAAATCACATATCCCTTTTATACCCACCCATAAACACATTCAAATTTATCCTCTAATCTAGTGCCAAATTCTACACTATAAGGCATTAAAATCAAGTGCCTCAAAGTGGGGAAAGGACTGAAAAGACATTTCTCAAAAAATATACAAATGGCAAAACCACTCAGCTTCATTCGTTAGTCATTAAGGAAATGCACATCAGAACCACAATGAAATACCACTTCATACCCATCAAGATGGCTAATGTCAACAACAAAAACACCCAGGAAATAACAAGGGCAACTTCAGACACTGCCTGTAAAATGGTACAGCCACTTTGGGAAGGAGTTTGGCAATTTCTCAGTTAGTTACCATGTGATGCTGCAATTCTACTCTTAGGTATACACTTAAGAAAACTGAAAGCCATGTCTGCATAAAAAGTTGTTCACAAGTATTCATAGCAGCGTTGTTCCTAACAATCAAAAAGTAGGAATAATTCAAATGTCCATCAATTGATTAACTGATAAACAAAATGTGGTGTATCCATCTAATGGCATATTATTAAGTCATAAAAAGGAATACAAGCTCCACCATGGACGAACTTGAAAACATTATGCTACGTGAAAAGGAACCAAAAAGCAAAAGGCCACATACTGTAAGCTTCTATTTATATGCAATGCCCAGAATAGGCAAATCCATAAAGACAGAACTGGATTGGTGGTTGCTGGCAGAGGAAGAATGAGGAGTGACTTTTTAATGGACCCCTAGGTTTCTTTTGGGGTGTGATGAAAATGTTCTGGATTAGCAGTGATGGTTTCACAACACTGTGGATATACTAAAATGCACTGATTTGTACGCTTTAAATTGGTTAAAAACAGTGCATTTTATCTCAAACAAAACACCCTCCTCCAAGCATCCCTGAGTTTAAGTACCTCAACTGAGAAAGCCCCTTGGTCCTGGCTGGGTAGCTCAGTTGGTCAGAGCATAGTCAGATGTGCCATGGTTTCAAGTTCCATCCCGGGTCAGGGCACACACAAGAATCAACCAATGAATGCATCAATAAGCGGAACAGCAAATTGATGTTTCTCTCTCCCTCCCTAAAAATCAACAAATAATTTATTTTATTTTATTTTAAGAGCCCTGGCCAGGTAGCTCAGTTGGTTAGAGCATCATCCTGATAACCAAGGTTTCCATTTAGATCCCAGGTCAGTGCACATACAGGTATCAACCAATGAATGCGTAAGTCAGTGGAACAACAAATTGCTGTTTCTCTCCCTTCCTCTCTCTGTCTCTCCCTTTTTTCTCCCTCCTCCCTGCCCCCCAACCCCCCAAAAGCAAGTCCCTTACTTAGGAGGATGAATACTGAGCTATCCTTAGGTTACGACTGTAAAGTCACTTCAGAGATTATTTCCTCAGGGCACCCAGTACCCCAAGGCCTATCTTTCACCCATAACATAAACTTGTGGCAAGTTATCCAGAATAACACTTAAATACACACACTTTGTCTTCATTTAAACCAGAGCATGAGACTTAAAGAGTCACATCTGAGATTCCCCAGACCTGTTCCTATTGAGGGGAAGATGTCCAGGAAACAAATCTAGACACCCAACACTTCGCTGTGATACTGACGTTCTAATCAGACCAGGAACAGAGCAACCCAAACAGCATTCGTCCCAGGTGGAATTTCCAAACTGAGTCTCCAAGAGAGTTGGGCCGCTTCGGTGCAGTTTACAGAACAGAACGGAGGCTAGGAGGAGGCTCTTCCCCGCTTAGTGACAACCACCATCCCGTGAGCAGACGGCTGCCCGCCCAGCCCCGTTCCGCAGAACTGCTCCCGGGTCCGCACAGCCTCCGGCTCAGAGCAGCACAGCAGTGCGCCCCGCACCACGGGGCCACTCGCGACGGAGAATCCGCGGGCTGGAACCAGACGTCCCACCCGCCCGCCACCTTCCACGCTGGAGCGACCCTCGGTGTTCGCGATCGGCCCTGATTTAAGGAAGCGTCACGGCCCCGGGCTGCCACAGCGGGCGCCGAAAGGGCCTGGGGCAAACGTGAACGTGAAGGTGACCAGCCGCTCGGTCCACCACCCGCACTACCCGAGGCCGAGAAGCCCGCCCGACACCCCGCTCACCCGCACCGCGCGCGGGGAGAGACCCCGGCCCGGCCACCGGCAACTTTCCCGCAGGGGCAGCTCGGCACCAGGGGCCGCTGCAGGGATGAGGCCGGGGAAGCGCGGGGACCCGACGGCGCAGGAAGCTGCCAGGGGGGCGGCCGCAGGGCAGTCAGCACGGGAAACCGGGCGGTGGGGGCGAGCGACCGCGACGGGGCGACTGAGGAAGATGAGGCGGGATCCTTACCTCCTCCACAGCTGAAGCCATGGTCGGGCTGGGTAGGCAAGGCACCAGCCGCAGACCCGCGGGGGAAAGAACAGGAAACGCCGCACCCACGTGACTCACAGCGCCCGCAGCCCTGCGACGACCCTGACCCTGCACCACACCGCGGCCCGCCTACCGCGCGCGGCGCCTCTGGAACCTTCGCGACTCCGTCGTCACAGCCCCCAGCGCCGCCCACCGCCCTCCTCCCTCAGCCCCGCCCCGCCGAACCTGGCCCCGCCCCTCCTTCCCGCGAGCCTCCTAGCGACGCTGAACTCTCGCGAGAAGTGTAACGACACTTCCTCTCCGCCAGAACGAGTGTACGTTTGTACGTACGCCTTGTTTGCCCCGGCTGCGCAGTCGCAACTCGGAACCTTACCCCAACCCGGAAGGAACGTATCGGTCTTCGAGCTCCAAGTCGGAAGTTGACTAGAGAGACGGCTGCTTCCGTCCCCTCTAGGACAGCGGAACAACTAGGCAGCCATCTTGTCTGAGGCTAACCTGTGAGCCTCTGCGAGAAATGGACACAAAAAGAAAAAGGGGGAGCCTATTTATGTTGTTAAAACGGAAGAGAACGAGGAATTAACTATGGAGAACCCTGAAGAGAACAGTGATTTTCACTGGGTTCTGGCACCAGCGACATGGTTATGTCATCAGGGCTGCGTTGGGCACGTGACGGCGCCGCCGGGGTTAAAGCTACTCATACCAGGCGCCACACACTATGACCTTAAACACGCGCTCTCCTGTCCCTGTGGTTTGCGGAAGCACTTCCGGGGTGCCCGCGCCCCCGCCACTGACCATTCTGCAAGTCTCCAGTTCTCACCCGGTGTGGATGCTGGGACTGTATTCCGCTCTGCTGGCTCCAGACTCTCAGTAAAAGTCCCTAACAGCGGTTCTCAACCTGTGGGTCGCGACCCCTTTGGGGGTTGAACGACCCTTTCACATTACGATTCATAATAGCAAAATTACAGTTAAGAAGTAGCAACGAAAATTTTATGGTTGGGGGTCACCACAACATGAGGAACTATACTAAAGGGTCGCCGCATTAGGAAGGTTGAGAACCACTGCAAGAAACCACCCCACTTGTCAGGTGTTTCAGCCTCTGACAGCCTCAAAACGTCTGCAGCGTGAACACTAACCCCTGAGAAGTCCCCGCCCGCAGTCACTCAGCTTTACTATCGCCGGAGGCAGTGACTAGAATCAGAGAAGAAAAAAGCTTTTAGAAAGATGCAGGTTGATCCTTATCCTAGCTAACAAACGGGAGTACAATTCAAAAGCAAATGCATGAATTTCACAAACGTGAAACGAAGTCTAAAAACAACAAAACTAGCCTAAGGTGTTATAAAAATCAGGATGGTCTTACATGCATAGCCCATGGACACGGACAATAGTGTGAAGGGTTGGGCAGGGGCAGGGGCAGGGGGAGGGGCCAAGAGGAGGTTGGGTGGGGGACACCTGTAATACTGTCAACAATAAGTCTTTTGTCCCAATGCCTCTTCGGGGCCCGTTCGGCCTTTGGTATCTATAATACAATAAAATAAGTCCCTATTTCCTTTTAATTAATTGTCTTATTATTAAGCTAGCTTTTTTAATTTCTTGTTTAAAGTATTACAAATAGTAGTACATATGTCTCCTTTTTTTCCCCATTGACCTTCCCCCCACACACACACACATGCCCTACACCGCCCCCCCGCCCCCGCCCCGTGTCTTGTGTCCATTGGTTGTGCTTATATGCATGCATACAAGTCCCTCGATTGATCTCTTACCCCTCCCCAAACACTCCCCAGCCTTCCCGCTGTAATTTGACAGTCTGTTCGATGCTTCTCTGCCTCTGTATCTATCTTTTTGTTCATTAGGTTCTAATGTTCTTTATTATCCATAAATGAGATCATGTGATATTTATCTTTCTCTGACTGGCTTATTTCTCTTAGCATAATGCTCTCCAGTTCCACCCATGCTGCTGCAAATGGTAAGAATTCCTTCTTTTTTATAGCAGTGTAGTATTCCATTGTGTACATGTGCCTTATTATTAAGCTAGCTTGAGGGTTTCTGTTACTTGCAACCAAGGAATCTCTAGGACAGTGGTTCTCAACCTTCTGGCCCTTTAAATACAGTTCCTCATGTTGTGACCCAACCATAAAATTATTTTCGTTGCTACTTCATAACTGTAATGTTGCTACTGTTATGAATCGTAATGTAAATATCTGATATTCAGGATGGTCTTAGGCGACCCCTGTGAAAGGGTCGCTCGACTGCCAAAGGGATCTCGGCCCACAGGTTGAGAACCGCTGCTCTAGGAAAACAGGGCCCTTGGCAGTTCTGCAGGTAGAGCCTGGAACAAGCACCTGTGTGTTTTTTCTTCCTAAGCTGACTGGAGTCCAGTGTCAAATAAGAAGTGCTACATAAACACTGGGTTCCGCTGATTTAGAATAAAATCAACTAGAAGAAAACAGAAAAGACAGATATGGACTCGGGAACAAATGTTTATTACTGCTTAATGGGGCCAAGGGGGCAACACAAAGCATTGAAAACATCACTGGCTCACAAAAACAGTCACCTGTGGTTACCTTCGGGGTTGCATTTGTTTATTTCACGAGGCTCCATTCACACATGAAAACAAGCTACTAATCCAGTTCAAGTTCATAACAATTATAAAAGTAAACATTTTGGGGACAATGTACAATAAATTGCACTTTTCTTAACAAGCATTACATTTACATTTGTGAAGTGTACTATGCATAATACATGGAATTATGGAAACATCTAATTGGTCAGTGTTTATAGAGGAGAGAGGCTGCCCACTAATATTTCTTTTGTCGTCAATTAGCACTGCCGGGGCTAATCAACTCCTTTATCCCAGAACCTGTTTCCATTAGAGAAACCACGGACAAAAATCATACTATTCCTGAAAACAGATGTTAGAGAATTTCTACTACCTCCTCAGCAAGGGAAAGGTAGGAGTTGAAAGAAAGGAAGTGGGGCTGCCTGAGGAACTTGTTTCTTTCATTTGAATTAAGGATCCATATATTATGCAAAATACCAAAAATAGAGAAACTGATGTGAAAGGCTATTGGGACATCTTGGATTCTGGGACCATCTCCAGCTTTATTCTTGTGCTTTCATGACACCAGAGTCTTGATGCACTTATGTCCTTATAACTCAGTTTCCTATATTTTATTCCATATATAATATATACTTATGTTACAGTGGAAAAGATTTTACATGTTGACTTACTGCCAATGAAAACCAAAGGAACTTAAAATGTTCATTTTCTACTCAGTGATTCTTTTTTCTTAAGTTTTTCAGAATACCATTGATGGTAAACCTGGGATGGAGGTGGGGAGAATGGGACATGTTGATGAAGATGTTTGTATAGCAGGTAACACATTCATTTGGAGATAGGCTGGACATGTCATCTTTTAGATGGAAGCTGAGAAGGGGACTCCTGACCGCTGACTGAGTCACTCCCTACTTGTAAACATCCACTTTCTCATTACAACTCAAGATCATCTCTGCTTGAGGTGCAGCCCCCACTAAAGTATTCATTTTGGTAGCTTTTGAAAGACAAGGAATTCCTAAGGTAAAGGGCTTTGCCTTTATTGTACAGAAGCCACTATGAGAGAGGATGTTTTGGAGCAGTTCTAGTTCAGTGTGACCGTGAGCCTGGCAACTCCAACTCGAGGGCAAGAGCTTTATAGCCAGTAGTGAACAGGCCATTGAGCCGTTACCTGCCCTTCTGTATTCAATCGCCATGTATGTATTCAGGTGTATGGTACCTGGGTATACAAGAGTTAGGGACACTCTATAAAATTTTACACACACAAATCTAACTGTTCAAATCAAACAATAGTTTGTCCATTCTCTCATTTATAACGGAAGCAAGAGAATCAGAGCTTTTGTCAGTATTGTTTTTAAAAGTTATATAATAGAATCATCTTATTAAGTGTTCTTTTCAAGAGAGATAAAACAAACAAGGTATTTAATTTTTTTAAAGCTCCTTTGTCCCTTAAAGGGGTCCTGAATTCAGACACCCACCTTAGCAGAATAGTTAGTAGAGTGATTTCAGCTAAAAAAAAAAAAAAAAAAGAAAGAAAACAAGAAAACAGTCCCTTACGTCAGTTACATGTGATTCTCAGCTGCAGCACCTAATCCACCCTTTTAAGGATTCCTCACCTCTTGTGCCCTAAACTGTGTATTCTCTTGTTTTACTCACTTTGGCTTGGAAATGAAGCCACTAGTTATTAACTGGAAAGTATTTAAGAAAATGGAGTAGGGGGTTGAGAAAAATAAATAATATATAGTATAAAAGAATGAAAACGTTGAAGAAATGAAACAAGATAAATACGATTAAATATCCCAACATCAGTACAAAGATTGCTTTTCTATTTTACTATGAAAGTTTAATAAAGCCAATGAAGAAGAAACTGCCAACTTAATAGCCAAGAGAGGGGAATAGAGGTATTAGCTGTATGTTGATATAGGCCATAGGCCTGTATGGTATTCCTATCAGTGTTTCTGAAATGCTCTCATATACAAAACATTAGGTAACAGAGTTTGGTTTTTTTGCATTTAATTATATGTAACTAAATATAATCAAATTGTGCCATGGCTCAGAATGTGGGTAACTAGCAAACATATGCACTGCAAAATTCAGCTTGGTTTTTTCAGCTTTAAAATACATGTTAAATAAGATTTTCAAGATATAAAAGCTACTGAATTGAATAATCAAGTTGAAGTTCATTCCCTTCGTTTATTTTGCAGAATTTAATGAAAAGAGAAATAATCACTTTTCAGAATGTTGCAAATGTTAGATTCTGGAGGAATCTTTTAGATAATGTGTTCTAGAAAAGATGAAAAACACACTATAATATCTGAAAATTTCCTGGATATTTGGGCTAGTTAATCTCTTTCTAAAGGAATCAAGAGAAGAGTAGCAATTCTCAAATATACTTCAAAACAAGTGAAATTAAAACTAGCAGTTAATCCTAGGATGCATGAGTTTTAAACAAAAGACAGTGAAGGACATGTGGTTTGAGATAATGCTGTTATAACATATTGTTTGAATAATCATATCATATACCATATTTTGAATTTTCTTTCTTTCTATCTTTACTATTGCTACTGACCCAAAGGCATTGCAGTGAAAAAGTTTAGACTTATGGTGCCAAAACATACTCAAGTATGATATGGAACTGGAAAAGAAAAAAATCTGTAGATTACCATTACAATCTTTAAAAAGAAAATGCAAAAGATTGATTTACTAAACATTTGGAATGTATATACCTGGTGATTTTATTTAAAGAAAAAAATGAAATTTGACCAGGTTTACAGGTAAGGACTGGACCTAGAACAATTCTATTTCTCCCTCAACTACTATTTAAGGAAAATTATGCAATTTAGTCATTCTGTGGAATGTGCCAATTTTTGGAAGTTAAAAAAGCTCTGTATAGTAGATCTATAAGATTCACAAAACAGAAAAGAACATCTTTAATTTAGCTGGCCATTTGATAAGGCAGCTTGTACAAGGCTTCTTGGTATCAAAGCATAAAGTATCAATAAAGCTAACAAATTATACTAAATGATTTACAGAAACAAATACCAATATGCAATTCTCTAGCCATTATATTTTACAAAAATAAAAAATAAAAATAAAAAGATTAGGTTTTCTAAACCACCATGTAGGGAATGTTAAAGTCAACATAGACACTGGAATGCTGCCTTATTTTAAGTTTTGGTAAAAGGAAATGAATATAATGATGAAAGATGTCAGGACCCAAAAAAGAAATGCTGTAAGAAAGTATTATTTCATAAGTGTAACAAACAAGCCTATAAACACTGATGAAGGGACTTCACTTTTTAGAGTTTAATGACCATTTTAGAGGGAAGCAAATTGTAGTGTGTGCTCCTGGTCAAGATGGCTGTTATTTGATCTTTATCTCCAGGAGTGTGTTAATTTTAATTGCACCATATGGCACACATGAGAATCACTCTGGCGATACAAAGGTTAAGATCCTTTGCAAAGAATATGTTCAACAAGGAAACCAAGGATGAGTGTCAGTAAATGTTACTGTACATACCTAACAGTAGTTGGGTTGGTGGAAAAGGCCAAAAAAGCTTAGGAAATGGTAAATTTTGTTTTGCCCTTACCAAAGGATTTCCTGTGAGGACTATTGATATATACATGTTACATATAATAGAAAAAATATTCCCATCAACTTTTAAACAATAGTTTTCTTTACCTTTCCATGAGATAAGTATTTCTATAAAGGTTTCATATTCAATCAAAAATGTTACAAATGCATTTGCAGCCTCATCTAGGAGTACCAAGGGCACATTTTGGGGAGCTATAGAAATCAAGAAAAGCTGCCTAAGATTAAACTAAGATGATGTGAAGCTGACCTCCATTTCCCCATCTCATAACTTTAACAAAGTTACAGTATATTAGTGTTTCCTTAGCAAGCATATGTCAACATTAAATGACATTCTCTGTCCCTGTTTCTGAACACAGTGGCTAAACCTAGATCTTTCTAGGCTTCTCTGGTGAAGGTTTCCTAAGGCTACAACTCGCAATGTCCCCTTCGACTTGGCGTTTGCCAGCACTCACAACTGTGCTCATATTTAGGACCTTGCAATTCCTGTGTGGAGTTCTTAAAAGGACCTGTTAGAACAACAGGGCCAAAGTGATTTATTTCTTCCTGTGTTTATCGAAATCTCAGTTCCTTTTCTCTAGTGTGACTTCTCAACAGCCTGACTTATACTATGGTTCTTGGCACTTCGTTTCCAGATGCACCCAACATAAAATGAAATAAACTAACTTGCTTCAGGGACTGTTCAATCCCAGGTCTGTCCTTCCCTCCGACAGGTCACCGCTCTCCAGGACATCGCTTTCAGGAGGAAGCCTGACAGTGGTCCTGACCAGCCCCACAGTGTGCTTTACCTGAATAAATGCTGAAAAGTTAAGAGTTTTAGGTTTCAATTTCTTTTTGTGTGGCAAATATCGTCTTATCACTTCAACCTTGGAATAAAAGACATCTCCATTCTTATGTAAGATAAAAAACAATATGAACAGTTAGTCCTGAATAAAAAGCATTTAGTTCTGAATTACTGATTCCCAACTAAATAGCAGGCATGTAAAATAACGGGTAATACTAGGATGGATCTGAACATGGCCTTCCAAGAAGAAGCGCGAAAACAGGTATTCAACATAAATCAGGCCAGTTTCAATAACATCCCTTTGAAAGTGGCAAACAAGAAAGAGTGAGAGCCACTGAAAGAGCGGGCTTGCTTCCCGGCCTCCTTTACTTTCTTTCTTCAAAGGGGCACCTGGGAGAGTCCTCGGGGTCTCCGTCGCTTTGATCGTTGTGCTCCTGTGCTGGGCTGAGGCAGGAACTATGTGCTCTCTCTGGGTGGCTGGGTGCTCTGTGGCGGCTGCAGGGGCTGGGTGCCCGTGGCCGTTTTGATCGAGTTCAGGGTTTTGCTAAACCAAGAGTTTTTTGCAGCTTGGATTTCATTCATAAGGGCCCCTCTCTGATGTTCAAGTTCCTAATTAAAACAGAAACAAAATCATCTGAGTTTTATAAATGTTTTCTCTCTGCCAAAAAATCCAGTACAGCTTCTCGGCATCCCAGGTCTATAGAGTCATAGTTTTCCTCCCAGAAAACCCAGGAGAAATTTAACTGGCTTCTTGATGCAAAAAAAATAAATAAATAAAAGTTTACAGCTAGAAGAGGTATCACTAAAAACCAGAATCTGTGCCTTCTCTGAACAATTAAATGAAACCTCACGTTATCTTTTTATCCCCCCTGCAATTTAGGTTACAACCTGATATAACCTGTTTCAAACCACAAATAAACATAAACATAAACATATGGATGGGTTGAATTTTTACTGATAGAGTAAAGCATGAGTGAGTTCTAGTTCCAAACGCATGGCCTTTGCCCTGAGAACATACAAGGTCCGGCAGAGACAGCTAAGGACACCAGTGTGTGTGGGTTGGAGCCATGGCAGGACATGGTGGGTACGATTCACTGTTAAAGAGGAAATGGGGAATGGGGGACAGTCCATCAGAAGCCAGAACCACTTTTAATTATGTTATCCTTCGATATGGAAAGAGATTATGGATAAAGGAATTTGGCGAAATCAGGTAAAGATGAAAAGAAGCTAAAAAAAAAAAAAAAGGATGTTCAACCATCAGGGGAAGAATAAACAGAGGAAGTTTGGCCTTTCATTTTTCAAAGTGACCAAGTTCAATGAGAAAGGATCTTGGCAAAAAATTGCAGGGAAAACTAAAAAAGCGTACGCTTAAGTTCTCACAAGATATAATTTTAATTATTAACATTCATTTAAATCTGTGTGTTTATATCAGTGTTTAAAAAGAATGACAAACACCTGACTATGCAGGACACATTCTTGGGCAGAAAAATGTATTTATCATAACACCTATGATTCTGAGCTAAATATGTATATTCTAAAGTCCTGAAATATCCCAAACCTTTTATCGAGTCACCAACCTGGATTTTACACTTGGCCTCCACCAGCTGCAGTTTGGTTTGTGCCAATTCCAGCTCCATCTCCCTCAGCTGCTTCTTAAGTGAGTCCTTCTCATCATCCGATTCAATTCCCTGGTCCTCTCTGCTTATGGCTGCTGGCTTCAAAGCGCCCTCCTTGCTGAAAATGTCACTGCAGTGCTTACAGGCCATCATTTTACCCTGAAAGGAGATAACCAACGTCAAGCTGTATTCCATAGCGTAAATCACTTCCTGAAACAATATGCGGCTTGATTTTTATTTAGATGCTGTTTGTTGCCATCAAATGCAGGCCTATTTCTGAAGGTCATTATTTCCCTTATGCTACAACCAACATGGTTACAGTCAGCACAAAACCCAAGTATCCAAGACAGATGCCCCTTTTCCTCAAAGTATCTCTAGAGAGACTGGGAATAGACAGTATTACAGCCCCTCTTTGACATCTGTTGTAGAAATGTTGTACTACCATTACCCTTACTAGATGCCAAGCCCCATCCATCATGCCCTGCATGCAGCATCTCATTTAATCCTAGGACTACTGTATGATTAGGTACTATATTCACCCCCTTTTTATAAATGAAGAAACTCAGCATTTAAGTAACTTGCTTAGAGTCGACTGAAGTCATTATGACTAACCTAAATCTACCCTTGCAACCAATAAAGTGTAAGTCCTTTTGTTCAGCATTAAGCAAAGATGATCACTACTGTTCAAGGTAATAAAAGTAACTCTGACCTGGACTGCATAACCACCACCAGACAACAGCAACTCTCTTTGAGAAAAGAGTGCTGCTATTTGCTTAAAATATCTCCAAACGTAGTTTAGAGAGAAAAGATATCACATAATCTTTCTATCTCAATGTCCATAACCCTAACTTCTCTCTCTTCACACACACGAAGCAGCTCTCCCCCTTTCTGTGTCATTGTGCGCATTGCCACCATTGAGGCCTGAAGACTTGGGTGTCTTTTCATTAACTTCTCCTTCCATTTCCAGCTGCTCATTAAATTCTTCCTCTGACATGACCAAGCTCTCCCTATCCCAGGCCTGAGTCCCTAAAATCACCTTCTCAGCCCTCACTGGTTTCTTCCTTACCTCTTCCATACTGTGCTCTTCCGGTTCCTGCCTGATTAATGTTCATTAGAGACTTAAAAGATATCTGATAGCTCTCCCAAGAACCCTGTGCTGGCTCAGACAGGCACACAGCAAGTGTTTGGTATATGTTTATTGTTGACTAACTATTTGTTGATTAATAAAATGTTAAAGTGGTGGCTTTGATCTGGGTTTTAAGTGATTAAAAGTTTACCAAGCTGGGTAAGCAGTGTCATTAGGCTGAACCTTATAAAGGAAGTGATTAATCTCACAAGAGGGAGGAGGACATTCCAGCAGAGAGGAGACTGTGTGCAGCCTCAGAGAACTGCAGGGAGCGAGACGCTCAAGCAGAGGGGAAGTGATGCGCTAGTAAGAGGTACTCAGCGAGAAGAGTTCTCCTGGGCCACGTTGTAAAAGTCCTGAAACAGAATGCTCATGAATCCTGGTTTTATCCTGAAGAAAATTCATTCATTCACTTCACTAAATCCTGTGCTCCATGTTGGAGTAGAGCGATTAGCCTCATGGAGCAGACATGCTGACGTGTGGGAGAGACCACAGATTCCCACCCACGTCCATCTCCTCCCTTAGCAACAGAAACCTGATGTTTTTTGGGCAGGAAAATGCCCAGTTAAAAAGTGCCATTTTCTAGACTCGCTTGAAATTAGGTGTAGCCACGAGATTAAGTTCTGATATGTATGGCTACGTAGAGAAACTCATCCAATTGGAGGTAGGCCATTGTATCCTTGCATCTTCTTTGTCCTAAAATTCCACCATGGAATGTGGGTGTGATGGTGGAAACTCCAATTGACAGATTTGACTTTTAGGTGACCTTGAGGATGGAAGCCCATGCTGAGGATATGGGTCACTAAAGTTTGGACACGGGTAAAACCAAGGATCTTTTTAGTCCTAGACTTCTTCTACATGAGATAATCAGCATCTTCTGTGTTTAAACCAATGCTATTTTGGTGTTTTTTTTTACGTGTGGCTACCTAATTCTAAATGGATACATAGGGTGATTAGTCAAGTTTATATTTGGGAATGATCACTCTGATTACAGTGTAGAGAATTAACTGGAAACAGGATGGTGATAGAGGAATAGTGTTAGGGGATGGTGTTACAGGAGGATCAAAAAATCAGAAGCTATCATCACATCATGCCACTGAAGAAGTAGGACTGGAAAGAGAGGAGAGAGTGTGGTGTAATGGCTAAGTGTATGGGTTGTAGAGTCTGACTCCCTAGGTTCAAATCCTAGCATGACCACTTATCAGCTTTGTGACCTCGAGGAAATGAATTACCTGTTTTAGAAACCCTCATCAATAAAAAGAAGATAATAAATTGGTAAGGAGAAGATTATAGTGTCTATCTTCTAAGGTAGTTGAGAGGGTTATATGGGATAATAATTATGCAGCCCCATAAGTGTTGGTTGTTATTCTTGATTCTGGCTAAAACAAGTTCAAATGCCTCCTTCTGAATGTCATGCCTTCCATTAGGTAACCCCATCTGTTAGCCAATAATCTCCTCTATTTTTAATGCATACTCTAATCACATCAGTTTCCTTAATGAAATACTGAAATGCTCATTCCTATTTCTAGGTCTTCAACTCACACTGTTTCTTCCAGATGTCCTTTTTTAAACCTTTCTAACTGAATTCTACCCATCCTGCTTTAGTCCAACCAGACCTGAGGTCATCTTTGGTCTACAGTTCTTATGATTTTGCTTTCTCTACAACTGATTGTCAGTGTCATCCAACTCAGCACCTACTTAGATGCTTTTGAATTATTCCCTCAATGTTTCACATATATCTGTATAATTTGTTCTTTTAGGAAAATTCTGAGCTCATTGTCAGGTATAATTTATGTTAAAAAAAAAGAAATCTAATAGCTGTGCACATAGAAGATGCTCAATAAAACCTTTATAGAGTGATTAATATAAATCCTTGTTTATTTTTATTTCCACAAAGATTTTAGTTCAGGATAGTTAATCCTTTTTGGCCAAGACACTTTGTCAACTGAGTCTTGGTCATTGTTTCTACAAGGTACAAAGAATGATAAAAGCTAAGTGGGGGGTGGGAGCGGTAAAGGAAGAGCAGAAAGGGAAGATTATGAACCCCAAATTTAGCAGGTTTGGGGAGGGAGACCACTAACTCTATACTCACTAATAATCTCAGACTGGTGTTTTATACATGAAATAAGAAAAATACACTTTTAGAATACTAAGTCAGAATAAAGTTCATATTTTCATTTCTCATGTCTCAGATTTTTAGGTTATAACTTATTAAAATGTGCATTTATTGTGTGCTAAATACTAAGCTAAGCACTTTATATACATTATCTTATTTACTCTTCAAAATGACCTTATGAGGCAGGTACTGTTCTCTCTTTTACAAAATAATAAAGTTTAGAGAGGTTAAATAACTTGCCCAAGTTGTTAAACTATATGCTGAAGTCCCTAGAATGCATAGAAATTACCAGTATTAAACCTGAATATATTCAAATAGAATTACATCAGGTTTCTAGAGCACTGGTCCCAACATTACTTCTTAAGAATACCAATCCATTTATTTGGTTTACTGTTGTTTCTACAGAATAAGCAACTCCTTTTTTCAAAAATAATCAATACCACTAGGGGGCAGCATATAAATAAATGCTACCAGTTTTCTTTAAAAACAAACATCTAAAAAATTGCTGTTTGAAGCCAACATGTGTTTTCCAGTCAAGTTCCAGATTACCCACGCTGTTCACTGTCCAAGAGAGCGATGGGATGAAACTGCAGGGTCAGACACTGAAGCACTGCATCAGTTCAGGCACAGCTGGGATGCAGCTGCTGAGGGTTCCCAGGTTTCCACCACCCGAGAAAGCTCGGGCCTCCTGTCACGATGCTGAAACCCACTACCTGCCTCTGACAGCCCATAAGACTTATGGGGACATAACCGTCTGCTGTTGGGAGGAGGATTACACTCCAGTCAGAAGAGAGACACTATTCTCCATGATTCCTCAGTCCTCTACAACAAGGGGGACAGGGGGTAGGGAGCGGGGAGCGGGGGTGTGATGTGTAGAAGCCATCCTGCCTGTGGGGCAGCATCACATACTGGGATGGATCCTCCTATCAGGCACTCCCTTAGGGCTGTGAATGTGGAAGAAATTTTATCACTGAACTACTCCACTCTCCTCACCTTCACTACCTCCAGCTCCTCCTTGCTGGCTGCTTGCTGCTTCTCCAGTCTGGTGCTCAACTGGGAACAGATCTAAAAGAAAGAAGAAAAAAAAAGAGTCTCCATACTGGACAATAGAATGATTCTTACAGCGTGTGCACATAACTTTATCAACTCCTGTGTTATCGCATCTCTGCTGCTGGAAGAAATTGTGCAGATGCAGTCATTTCTGCAGTGAGCAGCTGAAGGCCTGGGAGTGTCCCTGTGTGGAGCACTATCTTAATTAGTAGAAGGAAACACATGAGGAAGATCTGAGTTCTTTCCGTCTCTAGCCTCAGGACTGTTCCAGTGAATTCCTGTCCTGCTTCTGGAATCGCTCTATAGAATCTCTGCTGAGTACCTACTTTGTGCAAGATACTATTTATGCTGGGAACTGGATGAAACGCAGTTTGAACCAGAAATGTCCCCTATCTACAGCCATGGAAAGAGTCTCTGTTTTCAATGACAAAAGTTTCCTTAAGAAGTGGCAGAGTGAATAAAATTTTTTAAAAAGGTTAAATGACCAGAAAATAATAAAGACTAAAATCTCATCAAGTGGTTTGGCAACACAGCATAAAACATAAAGCCTGGGAGTCCAGTTCTACTACCTTCTAGTATTATGTCCTTGGGAAATTCATAAGCTCTCGAAGCTTCAGTTTCCTCATGGCCAGAAAGTGTTGTGCTGTGCTGTGAAAGTCAGTGGAAAATACGTACTCAAAGAGTTTAGTATAGCACCTGGCTGATAAGTGCTCATTAAATAAAATCTCATCATTACTGATTTTGAAATAAGGTACTAACAAGTACTACAACAGGTAGAAATAAATGCTTGAAAGCCAAAAAAGAAAAGTTGCTTTAAAAAAATACTGAAAGTTCAACTCTTATGGAACTTGAGTGAAATTTGAATCTTTAATTTTTTGAGTAATGAAATAAAAGAATTAGGGGATGTCAAAATTTCAAGTGCAATTTGGACTGGCAACATAAAAGGTCTACCTCTATTATCAAAACAGGCACTAAAAAGAAACGCCATTTTCCTCAAAAACAGTCCTAGAGGCCAGGGCCTGCTTGTGGAGATCAGTCTCGAATTCTCCAGGTCCACGCCTGGAGATAACAAATAGGTCTGCATTAGTCAACATTAAAGAGAAACGATCATCCTAGTAATTTTAAGCCATATACCCTTTTAAATAAACCAAAACATTCTGAAATATAGCCAATGATAACCAATTCCAACTATAGAATGCATTTGATCATGTTTTATGTCCTAATTATCTTCAAACAGATGGGCCTGTTGCCTTTTACATGACTTGAAGTACTTGCCAGATAATATTCAAGAACAGTCCCAAGGACTGCTATTTGCAGAGTGTGGCATATGGCCTAACTTGGTGACAAAAACTGCATCTGCAGTGATGGTGGGTTCCACAGCACATGCCTTTAATGTTCCTTGTACTGGTTAATGTCTAACCATGCCCTCGCACACTTACCCAAATTCAAAATCTCATGATCACTTCAATGTTTTCCCTCGTTCTAGCAAAACATGGCTATCTTTTTAAAAATATATATATTTTATTGATTTTTTAGGGAGAGGGATAGAGAGTTAGAAACATCGAAGAGAGAGAAACATCAATCAGCTGCCTCCTGCACACTCCCTACTGGGTATGTGCCTGCAACCAAGGTACATGCCCTTGACTGGAATCGAACCTGGGATCCTTGAGTCCGCAGGCCGACGCTCTATCCACTGAGCCAAACCAGTCAGGGCAAAACATGGCTATCTTTTTGTGGCTCCCTCTCCTCCACTTTCGTCACTACTGATTTTAAGTCAGGGTCCCATTTTTTCTCACCTGGACTCCATACTTTGCCACATTCCTGCTCAGGTGTTCCTACTACAAACAACTAAGTCCAAACACCTCAGCTATCCCTGAAGACCTTCCTTAAACTGGGCCCCCACTCACCTATGCTTTTCTTCTGTATTTGATACTCTTGCCAAACTAAACTATTTCTGTCCACTAATCTACCTCCGTGCCTTTGCACGTGCTGTTTCCCCATGGCCATCCTCTCCTCTCCCTCTCCACATACCCGCATCTCACCCGGCCGCTGAAGCGCAACTCACATCAGCCCTTCTCCAGGAAGGGTTCCCCACTTCCCAAATGCAATAAATTCCCCTTCCTCTTATTTATACACAGATATTGTCTCTCTTTACAACGCCACATTGCCAAGTGGGAAAAATGAGTTCCCACATTCTATATTGTGACAGCAAAGGACACACTGATCCCCTAGCTACTGCCATTCGATACAATCACTAAACTTTAGTCCTTGGCAAAGAGGCAAATGTCACTAGTGTGTTCTATAGGAAATTAGCTTCTAAGTAGGGCAGAGACGGGATCCCCGTGGTAATAATAAGGTTTCTTGTTCCTCTAAATCTATCAAACATTGTGAACAAACAACAGATTGTTTTGCTCAAATAAACCTCCATGTTATCAGCAAGCATGTCCAACCACTGCCAGTTTCAGAGGAGAAAATAAGCCAACAAATTTAATGAATGCAGTGCAGTCATTGTTCTGGAAACTCTAAAAACAAAATATATTTCCCTGAAGAACAACAACAATTACTTTCATAGCGACAAAAACCACAGTGGTACTTTACCTGTTTGTACTCGGCAATGATAGCTGTAGTCTTCTTTATTTCATATTCTGCCTTCTCTAGCTGTTTCCTGAAGACTTCTTTTAGCTAGAAAGAGTGAGAATGAAAAACATCAAGACTCAGTCACAATCTTTAAATAATTCCCACAAACATCTAGATTCAGGTCTGCCTGAACCAGAGCCAATGGCAAGAGAAACACTATAACTATATAAATTTTCCTCATTAAAGCTGTATCTTGATCATTTGAAAATCCTCATCATCTTATGAGATACAGAAATCTTACTTTCTTTCCTGTAATGTATAAGACATAGGAGCAATCCGATTATAAAACTGCTTATGCTTACTACTTACTTTACAAATATATTAGGGGCCTGGTGCACGAATTTGTGCATGGGTGGGGTCCCTCGGCCTGGGGATCGGGGCCAATCGGGTGCCTCACCCAGTCCCCATCCGACTGATTGGGGCTGGGAGGTTGGACAGCCAGGGGGAGGGACTGAGGGAGGCTGGCTGGCTGCAGGAGGTTAGCTGTGGGAGCGCACTAACCACCAGGGGGCAGCTCCTGTGTTGAGCGTCATCTGGTTGTAACAGTCACTTAGGCTTTTATATATATAGATTGTTAATTGTCGATTCAGAAGCTACATTTATCCTTATGAGAGTCGAAAACAAATCCTCAAGGCCACAGTGCCTGCACCCTTGATGCTATATGATCAATTACTGAAAAAACATTTTAAGCCCTCCTCTTCATATCCCCAATTGTCACTGCTGTCAGCTCTCTGAAGGCAGGAACAAGGGGCTCTGGGAGTGGAGTCAGAAAAAGATGGCGAAAGATGAGAGCCCGGAGGCCAGGAGATTCAGGGACTAAAGAAACAGTGACTTCAGAAGGAGCTAAGATGATACATAGAGGAGGTGCTTGTTACAGTCAAAGAAATACTGAATTATGAATGCTAAACTTAAACCAGCTATTTTCGTAGTCTGGCAGCTCTAGAATTCTAGGTATAGGGGAAGGTAAAGATGATGAAAAGGCTCAGGTGAACTCAGGTCTTCCAAGTTGTTGACCAAACAACCAAACAAAAGCTTTGGTTATACCCCATCATTAATTGGGATGCTGTGATGTAGAATGCATCTGTTTATTCTGATCATGTATTTAATGATTAATCTGTATGTGCAATTTATTAGTGCAATTTATAATCGGGCTCATATCATTAGGAGATTTCTGAATTTCTTCATATTTGCTATAATTCTAAAAGCAATTTGTAGGTTATTCTGATTCAAACATGGTTGTTAAATTAGTCTCTATTCTCTATCTTACAGAATGTAAGGACATAAACCATTGCCTTTTCCCCTCCTATCACAGGGCCCATGGACCTCAGGACCGACTTAGATGGCTGAGAGGTTTTGACACTAATTCTCTGAGCCATAGTTTCCACTAACAAATCTCATGAGGGTACCATAATGATTAAAACAGGGAAGAAGCATGGATTACATTCACTTGCTAATAGCTTCACCTTTACCTGAGTTATTAAAGTGAGCCCCCAAAAGGTAGAAAGTAAAAGAAAAAACAATACTCATCGAAAGGCCTACATCAAACTGGATAATCAGGCCCTGAAAATTTTCAAGTACATAAAAAAAAATCTTGGTCCAAAATAGGCCAAAGTCATTTTTTTCATTTTCCAAAATAATAATAAATAAATGCAATAAAAATCATAGAACACTTTTTATAAACCCTAAAAGGTGCTCAATGATACAACCCTTCATTAGCAACTTCACTGGAACTTTGCCTGCTTGGACGTAGGTCTTAGAAAGGCTCTGTGTCCTACTTGATATTTAGTATTTCGATGTCTCAGAACGAAAGATTAGAATAAATGAGTTAATCAGCCTGGCTGGACAGAGAGAGGGAAGCAGCCTGTTCTTCTAGGGAAGCTGCAAGCGTCAACGTCTGGCGGGGAGAGGCCCTGCCTGTCCCCAGTCCAGGACCTTTCAATGGAAGCGTCTTCCAGCTGAACAGCTTCCTTACTCACGGAAGACTGTCAGGTGCTAACTTCATGGCTGGATTCCAAAGGGTTTCTTTTATTCCCTGGGAGTAAGGTTTGAGAGCTCTGCCAGGAACGCTTTTACATCTCCTTCCAAGGCATGAATCAGGAAAATGAAGTGTGACCGATGGAGGCAACTTCCAGCAGAGATTCTGTGGGCTTTGAGCTTCTTCACAATCCTCATAAATTACTCGAGAAGTCAATTACCTTTAGCTCTGACACGAAATTTGCAGATTTGTCAAAGCTCTTGGATCATAATCCCAAGTTACTAAATGTAGAGAAAAGTGAATGCGCTGGCTAGACAGCTCAGTAAAGGCAAACTCCTACAGGCTGCTCGAGGGGAGAAATGCTGCCTCCTCTTCTAACACCTGCAAAGGGAATGTCGAGGTTCGATGCCACTCACATGGACTGCTTTGACGTCAGCCTTGATTTAGAATAAAATGATTTCTTGTCTGTAGTATGAATCAACTCCACATACCTGGGTAACATATCTGTGTAAGGGAAAGCCCGCCTATGCCTGTTACCTGAGCAGTCTCTTCCTCCTGCTTCCTCTTCTCTTCCTCGGTCTCCACCAGCCTCTGTTTGGTCAAGAGGAGCTCCTTATTCAACACGTCTGCCTTGTCTTCCGCCTGCAAATCAGAGCGTGTCACAGTCATAAAGACAAAGACGGTGAAGGGAGTGTGTTTGCTTCTCCAACTCTAGCACTTCCTGTTCCAACATCACCACAAGCCATTCTTTTTGTTCCTCGCTAACCTTGGGATGGCTGCTTTCACTGAATGCCAATGACATACCAGGCCCTTGGCACGCATTATCTCTAACCCTCACAACAATGATTGTTTTACAGGTAATGGCAGTGAGGTTTGCAGAGATCAAATAACCCGACTGGGGCACACATCTGCTATCAGAGCCATGATCCGAATTCAGACTGGACTGGCATCAGAGCCCATGCTCTTCCTAAATGCTCCTTACACATCTCAGATGTCACAACAGCTCTCACTCTGACCCTGTGGAAATGGTTGGATGAAGGGGGTGGAGCCTTTAGGGAGGCTCTAACCAGTAGTTCCTGTGGGTGGTGGGTTCAGAGAGGGCAAGCAAGAGAGAGGCTGATCCATGGACCAAAGATAGGTGAGAAAATTCAAAGATCAGCTGAGCCCGACAAGGGTATTCACATAGGACAATGAGTATAGCAGGGAGAAATTAAGACCTAAAATCTATGCTAGAGCCCTGACCGGGTATCTCAGTTGGTTAGAGCATCATCCTGATACGCCAAGGTTGCAAGTTTGATCTCCAGTCAGAGCACATACAAGAATCAATTGGTGAATACATAAGTAAGTGGAACAACAAATCTCTCTCTCAAAATAAAATCAACTAATCAATCAATAAATACAAAAACACATGATAGAGAGATCCATGAGGAAAAGTGAAGTAATCTAAACAGAAAAGACCGTATTTCTAGAAAGGCCCAGAAAAGCTCAGAAAAATACTCTGGTCTTAACTCAGAGACAGAGCCCAAATTAACCAAGAAAGCACTGTGTGTTAGCTTCACTCAGTTAAAAATGTGCCTGTTTTACACTCTAGGGCTCTTACCCCTTAGATTTCAGCTTCAAGTTCACGTGTGCAGGGAAGCATGGCTGAGCCCTGCCCCACTGCCCCCATCTAAATTTGCTCCTGTTTATTTAACTCTGTCATACTTCCTTTGACAGCACTTAGCACAGTCTGTAATGACAAATTCCATGTGTCATTTACTTGTCTTGCCCACTAGACTTGAAGCTCTGGGAGGCAGGAACCACATCTCTCTGTGCATCTCTACAGCCCCGGAAGCAAGCCCAGCACAGGTAGAGAGCAGGCACTCCGTAAGTATCTGGCGAATAAATGGATGTGGCTCTGAAAGTCACTACAGAAGCAGACAGTGTGGAGTGGAGGTGGCGGAGAGCCACAGGACACGGTCAGCAGAGAAAACCACCGACGCAGAGGATGAAAGCTATTTGAAAAAGCTGTCCCTGGCTGACAGCAGCAAAATGTTATCCAAGTAATTGTGAACGCTGGCCAGGTGGCCTCCTGTCTGTTTCGCCGTATCTGCCGCGTGTCCAGATGGCCAGGCCAGCTCAGTCTGCTGGGTGCTGGCAGGGAAGCCACATGCAGCTTCTCCGTTCTCACTGTCTGATATTTCTCATGTCCCGTACCTCAGAGGTTATAGCTCTGTTTTCAGATAACTTGAAAGTGTCAGGTACTTAAGGTGAAAAAGTCCCCTTTAAGGACACTAACACATTAGATTTTAGGGGGGAAATCTACACAGCAAAAGAGCATCTTAAAATTAGAGGCAGACCTCAAAAATGCAGTTTTGGAAATGTCTGTAATAAAAGAAAAAGAAAGCCACTTTTCAGAGGAAGTTTTTAATAAACAACTAAATATTTATGAGGAGAGGGCCTACTATTTCTATTTCACATTTTCTGCTGCACATTCTTCACCGGGCCAAGGTAAAGCAAGCTCACTGGATTTCTACTGCTTTCCGATCTGACAGCTGCAGAAATTTCTGTGGGCCCCATGTGGGAGGAGCCAGAGTTTCCCAGGAGGCTTCATCTGAAGTTTCTCCTCTTTGTTAGGCTTCTGTGACTTGAATGTGAGAGAAACACTGCAATTTGTGATTTAATCTCAAATCCTCCCATCACCTGATCAAAAGGCTCTACCATCAGGATGAGGAGCTTTCAGAGATAGTTTCTCAAAGAACTAGCCAGTTGTTTCAAATAAAACAAAAGAATCTGCCACTTAGTACATGTTTCTGGTCCAACAGGAAACATGATGTGGTTAGGAGGGAGCTAGGCACTTTCGGTGGGAAAGTCCTGGCTGTCTCTCTCCTGTGTTCCTTGGGACCAGGGAAGGACAGGGAGGGCCTGAGAGCCGGGGGCAGCAGAAACAGAACCGGAGATGTATCTGTTCACGTTTCTCATCGCTGAGAAGCCCTTACTGAAGGAGTTGAGGGAGGGTGAGTTCTCAAAAGAGAAGCTGTGTCAGAGAGAAACACTGAGAGCCTTCGTACCCAAGAAGCCTGAAGCCCACGCGGACATGACAAGGGTAAGGAGTAATTTATTTTTTCAAAGTTCCTAATTACCTAATTAGTGTTTGTTTGCTTTACGTATTATTTCAAATACAATCTTCTGTCATGTTTGTTTAATGTTTTGCTGTTTTCATGAAGAGATCTGATCTTGACCCACTGGGAATGGAAAAGTACTAGGCCAACTGGGTGAGGCAGACTCGCAGGTGAGGGCCCCTCCTTGAAGCCGCCGGGCGGGGCACCTACACTGGGGACAGCTTTTTGGTAGGTGAATAAGCCCTGCTCGGCAGAAACTGCAACATCAGGAGGAGATATCCATGAAATTGCAATTTTTATTCTTTCATCCAGATAGCAAGCTTCAAAAGACAGGGGCCAGGTCTTATTCTTTAAAAAGAAAGAGGAAAAGAGGTACGAAGGGAGGAAATACGAGTGAGAAGGAATAGATGAAGGAGTTAACTTTCCTCAGGGGCTGCTCCAGTATTTACATGAGCACCTAGGTGCTCAGCACTCAAATATTTCAGGAGTACCCATGGAGCATCCTTCCAGACTGATCCTCAAAATAGATTTTCTCGAAAAAACTTTTACATAATTAATTTTTACGATGATTTTTATTTGTAGATAATATATTTTCTTTAAATAATATATTTTAAAATATCCTTTAAAAAGGATTATCCTTAAAAAGGAAATTAATTTAGTTTAAAAATACATATATTATATCATTATCTTCCCATTGTTTTAAAAATCTATTTTAAAAAGACATTTTACAAATATACTTCTGTTCTCCCCTTCTATTGGACATATACATTACTTCTATTTTTTATTCTCATAAGTAACACTGCAGTAAATAACCTTGTATGTATATTTTTGACCAAATCTTTGATACATATATAGAGTGTCCCCAAAAAATGTGTACACACACTTTAAATAATTATTAAGGCAGTATTTATTAAAATACATTTCATTTTCAAAACTGAGCTATCAGCTGTTAAAATGTGTATATATTTTTGGGGGACACCTGTATATATGCCAGTTTCTTCATTTATAAAATGGAAGATTAAAGTAATAAAGTCATTAGGAAGATTAAGTGAGATAATGCTTAGAAATCACTAATATAGTGCTTGGTACATAGTAGGTAATCAGTAAGTATTTAATTTCATTACTTTTTAAAATTTTTAAAGGCTTACCAAATATACTACCCACACAACTTACAATTTACAGCTCTAGCTTATTTCACTGAACGCCCACTGAGGCCAACTGCTTAAAACATTTTTCATTTAGCTCTCCATCTCAAGAAAACTATTAATGGATAAAAGATTCAAAATGACAGAGTCAGTTATGAGTGAGGGCCATTTGGAAAGCTAACAGGGAACCAAGAATTTCATTACAGCACTAACTCACCACTCTAGTCTTTTTAATACAAAACTGTAACCGCTGCGGTCAGGTGGGGTGTGGTCCTCATCCACTGGAGACGCCTCTTCCTCTTTGGTTCTGACTCTGTTAGTCACATACTTTTCATACCAACACCTTACAAGCAGGCCAGCTGCATGAGGCTTGTGATTAAAAGGGCCATCTCTCTCCCACCCCGACTGGCTGCTTTTTCTACCTTCCGTAGCCGGCGTTCTGAGCAGCACAGTCTTTGTTTTATTTCCTAAATCTGGTGCTGACTCCTTCAGCTTCCACCTCTCCCTGTTAGCACTTTTTCCTTCCCAGTGGTCTTTTCTCCCACCTTACTGCGGTTAAAACTTGTGAGCTGCAAAATCAACTGTGTACATGGGGAAAAGAAGTTGTGGCAGGGACAATTTTTTAAACATTGTTAAAATTCCTTCAATCTTAATTCCATCAGATTCCTTCATGGATTTGTATTTTAAACAGTGCCAATGCATAGTTACAGCACAATAATGCCTCTTCTAAGTCTCAGTTTTTCTGATCCCATACTATTTGTTCAGAATGTTCACTTAAAAAAATTTTTTTTTAATTGATTTTAGAGAGAGAGAGGAAGGGAGGGAGGGAGAAAGAGAGAGGGAGAGAAACATCGATTTGTTGTTCCACTTATTTATGCCTGCATTGGTTGCTTCTTGTATGTGCCCTGACTGGGGATGGAACCCACAATCTTGGCATATTGGAACCACACTCTAACCAGTCAAGCTACCTGGCCAGGGCTGGGAATGTTCACTTTTTTAAAGTCAGAAAATAGAGTGATAACTTTGAATCTACACAAGACTCCTTCCACATTGCCAACTGTTTTTGAAAACTCCAGCAATAGAAAACCGAAGTCCTAAAGCTGTCAGTACTGTTGGAAAGAACAAAGGAAGTTAAACAATTTAAGGTCTTCCTAGCAACAGCTAAAGTTTATTCAACACATACTACCAAACTGCTTTCCCTTGTTTTATTCTCACATCATCCCATGCGGCAGCCTTTTTTATACCGATATGTTGGGTAAGAACTGCCTGGGTCACGTGGTTAGGAAACGGTAATGCTAGGATTCACACCCAGGCAGTGTGGGCGCTCAGCCACTAGGATGCCCATTGACCCGACAATATGTGTATCTTAATGTGCATACGTCACATAATCCTTTACATTTATTGTCGATGAGCATTCCTGGTGGCGGATGCTCTCAGGTGACTATGCTGGCAGGCCTTGCCTTAGGAAATTACAGGGGCAGAGAAGAGACACGGGAGTGCAGAGGTATAAAAGCATAGGACACACATGCTTCTTGGAAGTGACCCAAACCCTTCTCCAAGGCTGGCGTTTCCCACCTGCTCCAATCGGCACAAGCAGTCCCCTCCCACCTACGCCCACCCATTCATCCATCAAGCAGCGGACTCCCTGTCAAGTACAGAGGGAGCCCCGGCGGGACTGTGGTGAGAGCAACTGGGCCCTTGCCCTTGAGGAGGTAGTCACAGTCTTATTTCTTCCTAGTGAATGATGGGTGTACCTGATCCAAGTCATTCCGCAGAGCAATCTTGCTGGTTACGAGTTCATGGGCGAGGTCATCATTCTCTTGTTCCAACCTCATGCTGGCCTCCTGTAATCTCCGGTTCTCCCTCTGCAGAAAAAGAGCAACAACCAGAGGTGGGAGTTAGTGCCTGAGGTACTAGCAGCAACAGATGGGACTGGTGAGGAAAAACAAGCAGCAACGACTAGTGAACTTGAAGGTGTAGAGGAGAAGGCGCAGTGGCACAGGAGGGCAGGACAGCTGTCTGGGGAACAACGGTGAGTTAAGCGAGCGGTGCAGAGGCAGCACTCTACCCCGTGAACTTACCCCTGCCCCAGACCCCCAGGCAGGGCTTCAGTATAAAACATGGGCCACAAAAAAGCAAAATTTCCACACATACCCCCAATGCGTGAGGTTCCCACAGAGACCTAGAATGCAGACACAGGCAGTTCTTTGTTGGAAACATGCACAATAACCCCACCCTGACCTCAGGGGAAACCACTAGACACAGTAGGGCTGGCATAGGGGGGAACCACTAGACAGGGCTTCACGTTGTATCCCCAATATCAGGGGTCAGGATGCATGGGTCCACGACTTTGCTATCAACTGACATTTTCATTCTTTGGGTAAAAATATGTTGACTTTTCTGAACACCAATTTTTGTGTTATAAGAACAATTGTCCTTATGTTTGCTTTGTTGTGGTTTTTTTTTTTAAAATTTCAGATTAAAAGATTCTGGGTAAAATACATTAGTGAGCTATTTTTCCCCCTTGAAATCCCAGGAAAAAAAATCTGAAACAAAGTTATATGATGAGAGAACCAAGGCACATTGTTAGGAAGCAAGGTCTCCCCTTAACTAGCCATTATGAATTGTGTACATTCCCATCAGAATAGCAATGTAGTGTTTTCCATTCCAAAGTATCAAAAGTGCTTTTTCTGCTACTGCTAGCAATTACAGGACACTCCAGAGAGCTGACAGGAAAGACTTCAATGTGATGACACCTTCCTGTTTTTCATATTTATACTCCTAGCCGTGCCTTCTGCAAGGGTGGCAAAAACTCAGACAAAGCAGTGTTTCACAACCAGGAGACAAATCTACGTCCTGAAAGAGATTTTGTCATGGCATACTCTGTGTATGTGTGAGTGAGAATGTGTGTGAGTGTGTATGAATGTGAGTGTGTGAGAGTATGTGTGCGTGTATGCAAGTGGGTATGTGTGGTGAATTTTGTCTTCTATAGGACAACCTAGGGTTTGTTATATGGAAAGAAGAAAACATAATTTCTTTTTGTTTTTCAAAGAAGGGCTAAGAAACATGGTACAGGCAACGCCTGCGACTGTCCTGGGGGCAGTGGATTCTGAAACAGGCCAGCAGAGAAGCTAAAGACCAAACTAGTACTCAACTCTAACCAGCCAACAGGGATCCTCCCTGCCCTCTCTTCTGGAGAAGGTAGACTGGGGCAATCAGGGATGTTAAAACATTTTTTAAAAAGACACCGACTGAAAAAGATTTTAAAGTCCCAAATCACTTAGATATTTCTAAATAATTTCATGAATTCCATGCAGCATTAAAATGGAAATGAAAAATATAATAACAGAAGAAATGCTTATGCTACCTTGAAGAAAAAGAGCTAAGTAAATGGAAAATCCCATTTTTATAACAGCATAAAAGATATTAATTGTGGATAGTGGATTATTTTTATTGTTGTCTTTGTGATATTTAAAGGTTTCTAAGTTTTCCACAATGGATATATAATACATGTATTTTAAAAGTTTAAAAAGTTGTTTAAAAAATAAAAAGCAATTTAGAATTTCAACTTCACTGGAAATGATAAAAATGTCAAAAGAACTTTTTTTTTTAAGTCCACTCTTGCTAGATGCTCATATTCTGCATGAAACCACAGTGGATCTTCCTTTGTGACTGAAATACAATGTAACCCTCAAAAGTGCTGCCTGGCCAGAAGCCCTTTGCCAAGGTATTTATTCCTGAAGAGACAGCATGCACATTTATAGGGGCAAGTTTTCCTCATCCAAGTCTATCTGTCCCCTCCACAGATGCTCTGCCCTCTTACAGAAGCATAATTACATGGAGACTAAAATAATGGAGAAGCCAGGGCCTGTGCAGCTGAATCTTTCAGTCTTTGGGGAAGTGATCCAAATTCCAGCAGGGCCTGGAGAGTGCGTCTTTCATGCCAATATATCTAACTATTGCCCCTATTTGTGGAAACAACTTACATACTTGTCAAAAACTCAGATTTAAAAAGAGAGTCAGAAACTTCACTCATAAATGCCCTCCTTGCCAGGAATAGGCAGCAAATACCAGCACAGTTTCCTCAACATATTTCACAATGCAGAAGACATTTTTCTCATTTCTTGATAAATCCCTTCCAAAGGGACCCTGGTAAGACTACTACACTACCTATTCCCGAGTTAAAGTCCTATTTCTACTGAAATTGTACCTGCAGGACTCTGAGGTACAAAAATCTCCTCTAATTATTTACATCACACTCATTTGGCATAAGAGAAAATGTTGCAGCTACCAGTTTTTCAGGTTACATTACATGCTTAGAATTGAGTTAAAATAACCTCCAGGTAAAGTCACACGATGTGAGTGGGAAAGGACTTTGTTCAAAGTATTTAAGAAGCACAGGTAGCTACTCTCCCTATGGATCAGAGCTGCGTCTGATGGTTATATTATATGCGAAAGGGGTATGAGCTCAGCTGAAATTCTGACTGGTTAAGTTCCCATTCCAAGGCCGATGTAACTCGGACCCTTCTTCACAGACACACATCTGAGGGGTGGGAGACTATCGGGGAGAAATTATGTGTCTGAGGGTCCCTAAAAAGCACAACAGCCTAGGGCACACCTGGCATTTGCTTTAGCAGGAAGCTCAGTCCAGTGTCTGCGAAGCAAGCAGCAGAGTGGGGAGTGTGGTCTCCGGCTCTGCACTCACAGATGTGGGGAAAGCAAGCCAGAGGGAAAATGCAGTATCCTCCTCCACAGCATGACCCTCCTGGCCACTCAGATCGACATTTTCCATGAAGAGGCGCTTGCCCGCACTCACCAAGGGTTAAAGAGGTTGCATCACTTAGCTGTCTTTTCCAGCCTTTCCTGAGGAGCCAAACTCACTTTGGAACTGACTGATTCACGACAGAGTTCACCTTTACACCAGAACGGAGAAGAAAGTTTCCTTTCGATGGGCTTGGGAAAGGTAGTAACCTTGCTTGGCTCATTTGGAAACATTAGCAAGGGCTGCCCACCTGAGAGAGAGCTGAACTCAGCCCCATGCACCTCAGTCAGTCTGGAGACAGTCACGTGTCATACGTTTGCACAAACAGATGTGCTGAATGCTCAGCGCCTGCAGACAAAACAGGCTTGTCGCTTCCCCGGCCTCACAGCAGACTCCAGGAGACACTGCCTCCATAATCCCTCAATCGCTCCTCACGCTGCCTGGAACACGCCCCACCTCGTACAACTGGACAACAAGCAGACCATAGCTTTCCCATTCGTCCCCTCCCCTCCTGCACAGGGACGCACAGCTGGGAGAGTGCGGTTAGTAACTTTTGGGAGGAGGATACTGCATTTTTCAGAGAGACAGACGCTGCTATTACAGACATACATAGATTTTAAAAACTTACCTCCTCAAAAGCCATAGACCAACTACCGTTTTCAATCATAGGTACAAAGACAATTGAAGGAAAAAATGAAGATCCAATGAAATTGCACACCTACTAATACATTTAGGGAATGGCAGTAACAGGAACAGACACTTGTCGATGCTATTGGGCTTAGATTTGCTGTTTTTCCTTAGAGTGTCATATACTCTAAGTTCTCTCTGGGACTGCGAGCATTCAATGGAAGAATGTGCACTTCAGGCAGACAGAGGGCAAGTCTCAACTCAGGAAGACCAAGACTGAGTCACGAAACTCCTCCCTCTCCAGGAACTATTTGCCGTCTGCATGACTGATGAAAATGCTACGTGTAACTATTACCAACTACAGTGTGAGTTGTTTATGCTGTGTTATCAGAGCCGGTGGAAGGAACTTCCTTAGGCAACAAGGTTGGAAATCTTGCAAAATAGTTTCTCTTCAGGCAATAGAATGACATTGCTGGGCAAGGAAATGCAAAAGAACACCAGGTTCCAGCCCTCCTCCGAGTCTGAGTTCTGAAGTTTGGGTGGAATAGTACAAGGATGGTGAACATCATTTTTTCCAAGACGAAAAAAAACCCAGAAAAATGTGAGCTGGCAATCAAAAGAAAATAAACTGAGCCTTAAAGGAAAAAATGATGGGGAAGGAGGCAGCTTCATAAACTCCAGCTGTGTTTTGGGTGTGTTGTCCGCTGCTGTAATGCATTCTTGGCATGTTTTTGAAGACATTTAAGGGCCAGAAGAAAATGTTTCCCTAAAAGATCCAGTGCAATTTTATGAGCAATGGCACGCTCAGCTCTCACTTATTTTGTTATGGATACCTCTCTCAAAAGAGGTGATAATCATCACATTCAAATTTCGTCAGGTTTTTTTACATTCAAGGACAAATACTTACACATGAAATGCTGAAATGTCTACACTGTCTGTAAATGAAGATTTTAGAAGGAAAACCTTGATATTTAGAATTGTTTTATGCTCTTCCTTCAGCCAACATACCCAATTTTATCTGGCTGGTAGAAATTTAAAAATTTTAAATGTCAAACTAAAAACAATATTTATCAGTAATAAGTAATGGCAGTTGGCAAACCAGACTGCATTTCTTGTGGCATTAAAAATAAAATCTTAGATGATAGCACAGGGGATAGCAAACTTAATGTAAATGACCAGATAGTAAATATTTTCGGCTTTGCAGGCCCATATGGTCTTTGACACTACTCAACTATGTCATTACATGCAAAAGAAACAATAACTAAACAACTGGATGTGGCTGTGCTCCAATAAAACTTTATTTACAAACACAGGCAGTGGGCCATATCTGGCCCACAGGCCATGGTCTGCAAATCCCTGCTCTATTCTAGTTTACAAATCAAATTTTAAAAAAGCAAATGGTCCTGGCCAGCTTGGTTCAGTGGTTGAGCATCGACATATGAACCAGGAGGTCAGGGTTCAATTCCTAGTCGAGGC